ACTTGTATTACTTGGAGGAGAAGGAATATCTTCTCTCCCTTTACTACTATAAATAAAGGCACAATGTAGGAGGGATAACAACACACACATTCCCCTACAATTCTACAAACACACATCTCTCTCTTCTCTCTCTCTGCCGCCGGCTCTAGTCCCTCTGTCAGATAAAATAGACCACAACAGTATCAGTGTTTTTCAACGGAAATGTCAATTTCTATATGGCATGACATGGAATGCAATAAATAGAGTTACTGTCAAATTTAACAGCAGCTTCAAATCTATTTTCAGTAACTAATAAATATTTCTTTATAATTTTTGTTATTATCTTTTGTTTTAAAATTACTAATTACAATTATAAAAAGTTAATAATGCAATTAATGATAGTTTCAATTTGACATGGCGGATAGAGAACCAAATTTACAAAAAGATCAATGTCCCACATAAGTCTTCAAATTTAAATTTTGTGTTTAAAAATTGAATGAGGATCCTCTCTGGATCCTCTTTGTAAGGATCAAGATAATTTTTTAGTCGTGTTCGTTCATCGTAAATTACCACGAAGGCCGATCTCAAAAATCGAAGAGGCGCTCGCTTTCTCAAAAGCTGGGCTCCCCAGAGACCACGAGGGCCGATCTCAGAAATCGAAGAGGCACCTACTTTTCCAGCCTTTTCCAGCCTTGTCAGCACCTGTCACACGCACACTCAGTTTTGCGGAAATTATGGGCATTCTGTCAAAGACTTCTGGGGAAGTAGAAAACACATGAATCTTACTGTTCAATCACCCACTTCCCACACGCAACAATAGCTCATGGGTACCACAGATAACTTTGCCAAAGTTCTCTGCCAAAGTTGAGCACGTGAAGCTTGCAGCTCCCACTACATCGCTCTGACCAAGAAGGGTAAAAGAATAGCAAAGAAACAGCACTAACAAAGTTTAGACCCATAAAATTTTGAAGGTCTAGCTACCATATTATTACCCATAAGGGTAAAGGAACAGTACCACTGCTGGATAATTGGAAAGTCCCTGTGTGTCAACCTCTGTGCTTCGTGGCAAGGTAGACTAGCAAACATGCCCAACCTTTACTCACATTCGAGAAAACACTCCCAATAAGATTGCTTGCTCCAAAATCGAAGAGGCACCGTCCTCCGAATCTCGAGAGCCAGACTCCCAACATGACTACTTTCTTAAAAATCGAAGAGAGGGTAAAGGAACAGTACCATTGCTGGATAATTGGAAAGTCCCTGTGTGTCAACCTCTGTGCTTCGTGGCAAGGTAGACTAGCAAACATGCCCAACCTTTACTCACATTCGAGAAAACACTCCCAACAAGATTGCTTGCTCCAAAATCGAAGAGGCACCGCCCTCCGAATCTCGAGAGCCAGACTCCCAACATGATTACTTTCTCAAAAATCGAAGAGACACTGCTCCCCGAATCTCGAGAGCCAAACCCCCAGCATGATTGCTTTCTCAAAAATCGATGAGGCATCGTTCTCCGAATCAATCGAAGAGGCGCTCGCTTTCTCAAAAGCTGGGCTGCTCAGAGACCACGAGGGCCGATCTCAGAAATCGAAGAGGCACCTACTTTTCTAGCCTTGTCAGCACCTGTCACACGCACACTCAGCTTTGCAGAAATTATGGGCATTCTGTCGAAGACTTCTGGTGAAGTAGAAAGCACATGAATCTTACTGTTCAATCACCCACTTCCCACACGCAACAATAGCTCATGGGTACCACAAATAACTTTGCCAAAGTTCTCTGCCAAAGTTGAGCACGTGAAGCTTGCAGCTCCCACTACATCGCTCTGACCAAGAAAGGTAAAAGAATAGCAAAGAAACAGCACTAACAAAAGTTTAGACACATAAATTTTGAAGGTCTAGCTACCATATTATTACCCACAACTGTAAAGGAACAGTACCACTGCTGGATAATTGGAAAGTCCCTGTGTGTCAACCTCTGTGCTTCGTGGCAAGGTAGACTAGCAAACATGCCCAACCTTTACTCACATTCGAGAAAACACTCCCAATAAGATTGCTTGCTCCAAAATCGAAAAGGCACCGTCCTCCGAATCTCGAGAGCCAGACTCCCAACATGACTACTTTCTCAAAATCAAAGAGAAGGTAAAGGAACAGTACCATTGCTGGATAATTAGAAAGTCCCTGTGTGTCAACCTTTGTGCTTCGTGGCAAGGTAGACTAGCAAACATGCCCAACCTTTACTCACATTCGAGACAACACTCCCAACAAGATTGCTTGCTCCAAAATCGAAGAGGCACCGCCCTCCGAATCTCGAGAGCCAGACTCCCAACATGATTACTTCCTCAAAAATCGAAGAGACACTGCTCTCCGAATCTCGAGAGTCAGACCCCAGCATGATTGCTTTCTCAAAAATCGAAGAGGCATCGTTCTCCGAATCTCGAGAGCCAGATACCACAGACCACTTTTTCAAAGTGCTCTGACAGAGTTAAAACATGTGAAACTGGCAGCTCCCACTACCGTGCTATGACCAAGCAGGGTAAAGGAATAGCATTACTACTTGTTGTTAGGGAGACTCCTATATATGTCGACCTCCATCCCCAACGGACAGGCAGACCTGCAAAAATGCTCAACCCTTCATCATATCTGAGAGGGCACTCCCAACGAAGCCTTTCGAAATATTCAGCTTTCTTTCCCCCCGATAATACCTCTGCAAACAAGCTATACTAGAGCAAGAATATCTCATATCATCAGGGTTAAAAGCAAGAGTATCCCATATCATGCTTTTTCCCTGTCTTTTCCTTTTGGCCTTGTTTTTACCTGCAAGACAAGGAGAAAGAGAGCAATCAGTCAGCACTTGGAATCAAGCTTCCAGCCAGGAACTGACTGCCTGGAACCCCTTACCTGATTACTTACCTGGCATTGCTCTCGAGTACTCATCTTCAACATCTTATGTTTCCAGGGAAGATTCCGCATCTGCTTGAGGAACAGATAGGGCAAGTGCGAAGGATACAAGGAAGCATGTGGAGACAAGCGTAACAGCACACGTGCCGATACATTCATTACTCTGTCAAAAGCAAAAGTATCCCATATCAGCAGGGTGGAACGTACTCTAGATTTGATGGACTTGTTTTGACCCTCAAATTCTTCAGTCGGCCTTATACTCTGGAGGAAACCAGAAAACCCTCCAGCTCAGTTCAAGAATAAGCCTGTGGAAAGTTACTTCTTCAAAAGCAAAAGTATCTCATATCATCTCTTCTCATTTTTCTTCTCTTTTATCCTTCATGCTGCTGCAAGATGGGGAGAAGGTGAACAATCAGTCGGAGCTCTGATTGCTTACCTTGTCTGTCACCTCTTTCAGCAGACCCCCTAGCTCGGCGACTTGGGGGACTCCTACTACATGGTTTGTATCGCGCTTGACCAAGCCTGAAACTACAAGTAAGCTTCAAGTGAAATTGATACATTACCTTGTGCATCTCCACCAGTTAAAGATACCACCCCTGGATGGAGGAAGAGTACTTCCAGAGAAGATGCCACATCTACCTATGAGACAGATAAGGCAAATCAAGACGACACCACACTCCGATACTTAGAAGTTTCGTGATTACGAGATCATTCTCCCACAATATTTCCTAATGTCATTTGTACTAAGTCATTCACTTGTACTCACTAAATGAGAGCTTGAACCTATGTACTTGTGTAAACCCTTCACAATTAATGAGAACTCTTCTATTCCGTGGACGTAGCCAATCTGGGTGAACCACGTACATCTTGTGTTTGCTTTCCTATCTCTATCCATTTATATACTTATCCACACTAATGACCGGAGCAATCTAGCGAAGATCACAAAAAGCGATCGTTTTCGCTACCTAGGATCTATCTTGCAAGAGAACGGAGAATTAGATGGAGATCTCAACCATAGAATACGAGCTGGATGGAAAGAGTGCATCCGGCGTGTTGTGTGATCGTCGTAGGCCACTGAAGCTCAAGGGAAAATTTTATAGGACGGCAATAAGGCGAGCGATGTTGTATGGCACAGAATGTTGGGTGGTGAAGCATCAACACGTACACAAAATGGGTGTAGCGGAGATGAGGATGCTTCGTGGGATGTGTGGGCACACGAGAAAGGATAAGATTGGGAATGAGGATATCCGAGGTAAAGTAGGAGTAGCCGAAATTGTAGGAAATATGAGAGAAAATCGGCTCCGGTGATTTTGAACATGTGCAAAGAAGGCCGACTGACGCTCCGGTTCGAAGATGTGACTACGGGACAGAGGTTCAGGGCCGAAGGGGTAGAGGAAGACCTAGGACAACTTTGGAAGAGACTCTAAGAAAAGACTTAGAGTACTTGGATCTAACGGAGGACATGACACAAAACCGAGCGCAATGGCGTTCTAGGATTCATATAGCCGACCCCACTTAGTGGGAAAAGGCTTTGTTGTTGTTGTTGTTGTTGTTCGTTCATCGTAAATTGTGCAATATATAATGAACGGATACGATTAAAAGATTCTCGTCGGATCCTCCCATCTCCATATGCTCACCACCATTAACCAACTTAAACCCCCAAAAGTTGCCACGTGTAATTTATTCTGCTCAGCTTTTCGTTTTCTTTTTTTTTTCTTTTGAAGTATTATGCTCTGCTTATTAGGAGAGTAAAATCCTCTTTTAAATCAGTGATAAAAGATTATAAAAAAACATTTTAAACTTTTCGAGATCCACCCTACAATATGGGGTCAAAAAGCCAAAATAAATGATTTAAAGTGTATCCACTCTTTTTTCGAGGCTCATCAGCATACATAATGCAGTTGGTGGTGATCAGTTTAAGCCAAATCAATTGCGTAGTACAACGATAGAAACAATGGGGGCGAGCCTTCGCCGTCACCGTCGCCTTCCACGGCTAAGAGTTGCCATAGTCTTCCTCCAACAAGGATCCCCGTCGTGTTCCTCGGATAAGGGCTTTTTCATTGTTTCGCCATCATCTTCATTAGATAAGATTCTCTAAAAACACTTTCAGTTTCAGACATTTAGAAGCAGTTTCCAAATGAGACCTAAATCATACTTTGGCTCATATATACAATATGCAATTAAACAAAAAACGACTAGACAAAATTGTATGACTAAACAAAAACAGTATCATCATCAAAAAACGTATACACCTTTTCTCATCTCTGCTGGGATTAAAATCTCAAAACTCCTATGCATTTCGAACAATATCAATCGATTCAAATCTGCCAACCGTCACAAGAAAAAGCTGCCTGTTGTAGTACAAATATCAGTACCCGTCACAATGACAGTCGAGGAAGAGATGAAATGGAAATGGTGACCATTCCAAGCCTCTTGTCGTGTACATATATAAGTACATAGATCATGAGTAGTTCTTCAGTCTGTTTCAGAATCTGAGAAGTATTTCTGGGCATCAAATGGTTGTCTCCGGGAGTTCATATCATGGACATTTGGCTGTCTCCGGGAGTTCATATCATGGAAGTTAGGCTGTCTCGGGGAATTCATATCATGGAAGTTAGGAGCTTCTCCAGACATCGGTGCAAATGCTGCAGCTCAAATACATAGAACTAATGAGAAAAGCACCCCTAAGGCAATTTTTCAACGGAAAATAATTTAACAGAAAGAGAAAAGTTGCTAGTATGAGATAAAAATATAACTTAACTAGCGCATATGTGAATGTCACTTTCAACAAAGACCATCCTAATATACAGTTTGCAAACAATGATATCAATAAACTATTTTATAGAGCTCTTAGATGTTTTTGCCCAATACATGTTTGTTTGTTTAATGATCTTTTTCAGTTTGCAAGAAAGATATTTCAGAATCACTCGGGAATTTCTAATACGAGGTCAGCTCTGTAGCGGCTACAATAACTGGACGAATCAAAAGTCCTATGGGAACTGCAGCGCACTCAATCATCAATTCACAAAATTTTTGTAAGTTCTACAGCCAGTCAATCTAGGAATCTACAAAAGATGTGAGCAACAAACTTGGACTACCCAACTAATGAACACCAAATAACCAAAACACTGCTCAATCTACCATCAAAGATATTGGTAGAAGAACTTCACCTAATGGTGTACGAGGGGCCAATTAATCCACAAACCAAATCACAAAAGCAGAAGTTCATACATGCTAGGCTGTATGAATCCTAGAACGCCATTGCATTTAGTCCTATGCCACGTCTTCCGTTAGATCCAAGTACTCCAAGTCTTTTCTTAAAGGTCTCTTCCAAAGTATTTCTAGGTCTTCCTCTACCCTTTCAGCCCTAAACCTCTGTCGCGTAATCGCATCTTCTAATTGGAGCGTCTATAGGCCTTTGTTTCACGTGTCCAAACCACCGTAACCGATTTTCTCACATCTTTCCTTCCATTTCGGTTTACCTCAAATATCCTCATTCCTCATTTCTCATGTGCCCACACATCCAACAAAGCATTCTCATCTCCGCTACACTCATTTTATGTACATGTTGATGCTACTACCCAACATTCAGTGCCATAAAGCATTGATGGCCTTATAGCCATCCTATAAATTTTTCCTTGAGCTTGAGTGGCATACGACGGTCGCACAACACACTAGATGCACTCTTCCACTTCATCCATCCAGCTTGTATTCTATGGTTGAGGTCTCAATCCACAAAATTTTGTAAGTTCTATAGCCCGTCAATCTAGGGATCTACAAAAGATGTGAGCAACAAACTTGGACTACCCAACTAATGAACACCAAATAACCAAATAACCAAAACACTGTTCAATCTACCATCAAAGATATTGGTAGAAGAACATTCTTCACCTAATGGTGTATGAGGGGCCAATTAATCCGCAAAACCAAATCACAAAAGCAAAGGTTCAAACATAAAATTGTCAAAATACATTCAACTAACCTTTCTCTCTCATTCTCCTTTCTCTGTCATACTCAAATTTATCCCGAATCTGGTTGACCTTTTCCCAGGTATCACCTTGCCTACTTGCAAAAGCATTGTCCTGCAACAAAATATAGGCAGTTGAGTGTATCATTGCACATGCATAACCATGTGACCAAAGTAGTAAAATAGATCCAAAGTAAAAGATAGCACAAGCAACCCTCTAGTATAGTGGGATCCTACAGATACAAAGGTATCACATCTTACTCTAAAAACAATCAGGGTGTAATAAATCATAGTTTGATGACAAAAACCTATATAGTTCAGCTATAAAGCTTGCTTCAGAGGGCATCATTTACCAATGGAGATAGTGAGAAATAATTGCATTCACAATAACACAAAAGACCAGGTTTGAAGATTAAACAACATATTATTACGTGTGGAGTTTGAAGTTGTTGATAATGAACAACTATGTGAAATGCCGGGCTGTCTACTCATGATTCCTAACGTGTAATTAGCGAGGTGTAGGTGCCGAGAGAACACATGTTTTGGTGCATCATATATACATCTGCAAAGCTATAACATATTTGACTAGGCCCAATAAACTGCATCAAATTCGTACCTTAAATGGCTCGGGATGAAACCGCTTGTTCCTGAAACACAAGCAACCAGAGCTAAATTAGCATCTGAATGTCATTAGACATACAATGGGCAGTGAGATTTTACACTACTAGAAAAAAAAAACCGAGTAATAATTACATTCATGTACATTAACAAGTCCAGATTTTCTAAAAAGTTTCCATCTTTTATGTAAGGATGTACAAAATTTGAAATTAAATATCTACAAATGTCAATTCTTTGCAATACTGAAAAACCATTTGCAGAAATTAATCAACATGGCACACCTGTACGGAGAGAAATCGTGATCATCGTCCTCAGCGGATTCATAATTCGCATGATCCTGAGCAATTTTTTTGGAATAACCCTCGTCCCAATACAGCCTCTCCCAATTTTCCCTCAGCTCCTGGTAAAGCTCCATGTATCTTTTGCACCAAGGCTCGTGTTCCTGTCAACAAATTAAAGTAAAATCACAATACAAACCCTAATTAATACGAATCACACAACTAATCACAATTAGCAAGAACAAACCGTTTCCTTGAGGACGAGGCGAGTGCGGCGCATGAACTGGTCACGGAGCTGCTTGCGGCGCTTGTTGGGAATATTGTCCCTGGGAATGACAAACCGCTCACGTGGAGGCACGTGATCGCCGATCTCGTGGATTTCGCCGTCAACGATCCACCACTCGGACTTCTCCTCTTGCTTCCGCATGGCCAGGGCGGGAGACTTGTGGCGGCGCCGAGATGGGCCGGACTCGGTCCGAGCCCACCGGAGTTGGGTGGCGGCGGCCGCAGTCTGGAAGCATGACGGCGAGCTCTTGAGTCGTTTTGCGAGGGAGAGCATTTGGGTTTATGACTTTGGTGCAGTCGAGTGTACAGTCGAGCGTGTAGCCGGGATTTTGCTGGTTGGAGACCCGCAAAAGCTTATCCGAGGGCTTAACCGGTTCGAACCGTTTGCATTAGTTTTTTAATTTGTTCTTCCTTGCCCGAACCGGCTGGACAGACAGGTATACCAACTCCAAGCCCAAGACCAAGACGAAGCCCAGTCCAAATAAAATGTTTCAGAAATGGCGATTATCTGGTACAAGTGTCCCGATCAGGGCATTGACATCTGGAAATCGGGGAAACTGCCAGGGGAGGGAGGAACTCGAATTCAAACCATTTGAAATCCAACGGTCACCAATAGTGCGATACAGAGAGAAAGTCCCACCGCATTCGCTCGCTTCCCGCCCTTTGTTCAGTTGCTTCGAGTCTTTCCATCGAGATGTGTGGAAGGGCTCGCTGTACTGACGACGTCATTAGGGCTCACCACCGCAACCATGCCCCTGTCCGTACCGTTAACATGGACCGGTGAGCAAACCTCATAACTCAAAACTCTTTCTCCCCTCTTTTGATTTCTCTTTTGGTTGTAATTTTCTCCCATTTTCCAAGCAACCAAACAGGTCTTAAATCTTGCGTGTTAATGGTCTCTCTAATCAATTGCTTAGGTATCGGCCGTCGTACAACGTGTTGCCGGCGGGATCGAATGTGCCTGTTGTTCGCAGAGAAGACGGGGCGGATGGCTACGGCGTCGTTCTTAACTGAATGAAACGGCGGCGGATTCCTAGTTTCACCAAGAAAACCGAAAAGCCCGATTTCTACAGGATGGTAATAACGTTAGCGTTAGCATTGGCAGTCAGCCACTATCTTGATTAATAGATTGTTTACATAAATTGAATGGGTTTTGCAGTGATGTTGTGGAAATCAGTAGTAATTTAAACCTCAGTCTATGTGATGTGTCTCAAGTTTCTATTTTTCATAACCGACACGAGAAAGCCTGGTTCTTTTTATGAGATGAGTTGTGAAATTGAACAGTTTTTGTTTGATGATTACATGTTGTGAATTGTGCTAAAATTTGCAGTTTAATACTCGGTCTGAGTCCATTTGTGAAAAGGCTTCCTTCCGTCGTTTGGCTCCTAAAAGCCTCTGCCTCGTTGCGGTTGAAGGGTATGTATTATTGATTTTACTACGTTTGTTATCATTCCGGACTTTTTTTTTTCAATTGTGGTTGAATTGGAGGGTCCGTGCGTCTTTCCCTTTCATTGTTGCTGTTTGATTAGTATCATAAAGCAGTTTATTATTTCATGATTTACTTTGCATTCTCCAGTTTTTATGAATGGAAAAAAGATGGTTCGAAAAAGCACCCTTACACGGGCTGGTTTGGTATTGCTGTGCTTTGAAAAAAGCTGCTGTGAGAATAAGCGGCTGTGCTGTGAGAATAAGCGGCTGTGAAATAAATCAGCAGAGCGTTTGGTAAACTTTTTTGTAAAAGAGCTATTGGAAAAAAAAACAGTCTGATAGTGGGTCTTTTCATTAAAGGAGCACTGTAGCTCAGTGTGCTTTGAAAAAAATCCAGTTTTCCAAAGCTGCAAATAGCAGCTTCAGCTTTTTTCTTTGATTTCAGCTTATTTTCACAGCAGCTTCCAAAATAAGCCATTTTTTTTCAGTTTACCAAACACCTAAAACCCTCACAGCTTTTTTTCATAGGTGCTTTTTTTTTAAGCACCTCACTCCCAAACTAGGTCTACGTCTATTTCAAGGACGGCAGACCTCTCCTGTTTGCAGCTCTTTATGATTCATGGGAGAACTCTGAAGGTAGCTAATGACAACCATGTTGTTCGAAAAAGCCCCTCCCCGTGACCACCGCTTTTGTTAATTTGTTATGCTATTATGTCTGTTTGTTTTGGTCTTGGCGATGATAATTTGTTTTCAAAACCGACTTTATCTGAAATTCTTCGTCAGTAAATTTCAAGCTTGAGGTAAGTTTGTTCTAGGCGCTGATATATCCAGTGTACATTATCATGCAGGCGAGAAACTTCACACCTTCAGTATCATAACAACAACTTCATCATCAGCTTTAGGGTGGCTGCATGGTGAGCCCTACTCATGTTTGTTAATTTTTACAATTTTACTACGATTTAAATACCGTAATGTCTGGATAGTACTAGAAGCCTATAAGTTATGAATTACTGCGTGATTATCTAGTTTATGTTGATGAGAGTAACTTGGAGGTGATTCTATATGTATACATATATGTGTGTGTATATATAAAAAGATATTTGTATAGATATAGTTTGTGATTTCTAGTTACAGTTTCTTGGCTGAGCTATGAATTTAGTCCTTGTTGTGTGAAGTGGTGTGAAGTATCTCCTTTGCCGCATTCTTGCTGTGGCACTCTTTGACAAACTTGAGTAGCATTTCTCTAATATTTTGGTTAATTTATCATTATGGACAGGATGCCTGTTATCTTGGGTGATGAAGAATCAACTGACACATGGCTAGATTGTTCTTCATCATCCAAGTTTGATTCATTACTTAAACCGTATGAAGATCCCGATTTAGTAAGTGGTTATTGAATTTAGAAAGGAGAAACATAAAATTTAGTATTTAATGATCCGGGTATAAAACGTTGGAAGTACATTTTATTGACTGCTAAAAATTTTATTCACCACGTATGGTACCCGGTGACACGGGCAATGTATAAGGTGCCTTTTGATGGGCCAGAGTGCATCTATGAGGTGAGGCAGTTTCATTCTTTCTCTTATGTCCATGATGCTTTAAAATTATGGAGGGGGACTTAAACGCACTAATCTTTACCCCGATCTCTACGACACTGCAAAATTGGAAATTTTGGCTGCCAGCTTGAACCAAACAAAATGATTCTTGCACTTGTATAATCCTTTAGCTGGTGTTCCAATAGAAGGTAAACTTTATAGAAGTGACAAGGTAAAGGTGTTAAGGTGGTGGTCTCATGGAAAATTTGCCGAACAAGAGAATCATGCTGTCGCATTCCCCACCAAAGTTTTAAGACTGGCTTTTTCATTACATTTTCCCCCTCATATCATGTGTTGCATGATTTGATAGACAAAACAGTGACTCTGCTTCCTATGGGTATATTCTTAATTATATCGACTTTTCATGGTTTGGTGATTGTGTCTTGGTTTCTACTTGGGAGATTTCTAGGTAATATCTGCTCGATTTTCAGTAAATGTTAAATCCCGATTTGGTTTCACACTTGTGTGGATTATAAACAGAGAACTTGATTTCAATTAAGAGGTTTTGTTGCAGCCCTCCTTACAGATTTCAACAAGAAACGAAAAACAAGCGAAAAGAAGTTGCAGAACTAACAAAGAGGAAACATTTGGGGACGTAAAATTGGCAGAGACCAACTGTAAGCTTCTATCCACCTTTCACTAGGCACCATCTCCATGAACATCTTCTTTATCATCCGAATGGAGCCGGACACCGCCCCCCATTGTAACACCGGCCGCGACCCTAGGCTGAACCCTCGCCGCTTGTTCCCTAGCCACACGGTGATGCCTCTCCGTCTTTTCAGCCGCCTCCGTGGCCGGCACCAGCCAACCAACACGGTGGAGTTTGACAGAAAAGATATGGTGACACCACCTCTCCTCAGCATCCCTATTGTTGTTGTTATGCAATTTTATGCATAGTGATTTTGTGATGCTCATTCATTCCTAATTACTTATATAGTGTGGATTAAGGATGAATTGCCGGTGTTAACAATGATGATCAATGATAATGGCAGCAATTATGACAATCATGATTTTTTATCCCCTGATGCCAGTGTGGAATAAAGCAATGTACCCCAGGATGGATTTTATTCAATTTACATTGTTAGGGTTGTGGTAGTCATGATTAGAGTAACACTTTATGATCAAAAGACAATTACTTTAGTGAAATTGTAGGTGAGATGTGTCCATCACGGGCTTTTAGCACAATTGTTTGTATCTCCCGCATCATGTGACTTATAATAATAATATAAACTCGTCACAGAGTAATTCTCTCTCGTCGAGATAGGAATCACAAATCTTCCCTTTTTATAAAGCAACTTTAATGACTTGATTATTGAAGTAGAAGATGCTTAAACTTTTGTTCTGTCCGTCGCTTCGACATGTGCCGTGAAAATGAAGTTGGTAAATTGATGGTTTAGATCAATGATTCGATTTGAATACAAGTAGTTTTAATTAGTTTTATGCTGCATGCGTCTGAGAGGGATCGGCATATTTTTTTTCTTTTCATTTGACGCAAGGATGTTCTACTCTAAATTCTAAAAGGCAGATTCTCAATAGCACAACGATTGGGGTATTTTCTTTAACTTAACTTCATGCTTATGTTGGTTTTTAGCCCAACTCAACTATCTTAGTCTCAAATATTTTTTACATACATGATTCGTACAATTTGATTTATAATATGAATGGCTTCGATCATAAGCATGAAGTTCTATAAATAAGCCACGAAGTATTTTGAGGAGAAACTTCTCAATCTTAAAGAGCCATTCTCTTTTCTAACATATCAGAATTAACTTGGCTCCTCAATAGATGAGAAGAAGTTCCTCCTCAAGATGATTTATTATCGAATCTCAAAACTTCATCCTTATGAGGGAAATTAATATATAGAGATATCCCTTAAGAATATCATTGTAATGTCAATTTAAGAATTCGTTGCAATGTCAAACATCCGTCTCCTTGTCCATCAATTTGTATGTTAAATGCTGACGTGGCAAGCGAGTATCCCACTCTCTCGCCCAACTGAATTGAGAAATTAATTAATTTTATTAAATCAAGGATTTTTTTTTTGCTTGAACAAAATTAAAAGTAATGAAAAAAATCTCTTTCCCTTCACGGTGAGCTTCTGGGTCAACCCTTGACGCAGGTATGTCAGTGTTAGACCAAGTCCAACTTCAGTTGCTGTTACAACGGTTTCAAGTAGTTGTTAACTGTTTTAAGTTATTGGTTATACGGTTTTGCTGTAAATGTTGAATTAGCTTCTGCTGTATCTTTTTGAATTTCAAACTTTCCTTGTAAATAAAGATTTCAACATCCTAGATGTAAGTGTTATAAATATATGCAACCCATCGTCGAAATGGGTATGCAATTGAAGTGAAAACCTCCAGTGTTTAAGTTTTGGTTTCTAGAGCCTTTAAAGTCTAACGAGAGAAATCCTTGTTTTTTTTTTCCAATTTGAGTACTTCTACATGATAGACTTCAACAGAAAACTGAAGAGTAACGACAACTAGTGAATGAGTTCAGTAGTTCCTCATATAAAATGATTGACTCTAGAGATATAGTAATATGGAGAAGACAAAATTGTTTCAAGCACCGTTGTTTTCAAAGAGAGGAGGACGAGTTATTCACATTTCATTTGATGGTCAGAGATGAATTAAAAGCTAAGCAGTGGTAATTCTAAGGATTCCCCAGGGAAAAATAAAGATGTCTCTTACGTTACTCGGTCTTGCCCACCATCGTGTTCAGTGGCTGAAAACAACACTGCCGCCACTACCAACAACACCACTCCCTCCCCTCCCATGCTTCCTGTGAACCTCTTCAATGACGACTGTTGTCAATATTAAACTGGACAAGACTAGCAATTCTTCATGGTTGGCCCAAATCCTGCCCATCGTCAATAGCAGAGACCGTACAGGGTATGTTGATAGCGCGCCGCCCCACCCCCCCCCCCCCCCCCCCCAAAAAAAAAAAAGAAGTTTTTGAGAAATAATTCTTATAGACAAGGAAAGGTGACCTCTCTGTGGCGGATTACCTGGATTGCATGAATACTATTGCTGACAAACTTGCGTTAGCTGGACAACCTGTGAATGATGATGAATTAGTTCTGATCATCCTGAACAATCTTGGACCTGCATTCGAGATGACAATGAGTGCGACTCAAGCACGTGATACTCCAATCACGTATCCTACCCTCAAAGCTCTCCTATTGGCTACGAAAAAAAATGATGGCATAACAAGCTGCTCCTCTTGTGGAGGCGGCTCATGTGAATGCTTTCGTGGATGCAAGAGGCCGTGGAGGACGATCTCGTGGTACTGGACGTGGTGGTTCTCCGTTCGCTCGTGGTGGTGATGCCAACCAGCGTGGTTTCATTCCACGCAACAACAACAACAATTTCAATAATCCACGCAATGCTGCGTGCCAAGGTGAGAAGTTTAATCCCTGCAGGAGAAAGGATTACCTGCCAAATATGTGGGAAACTAGGGCATCTTGCCCTTAATTGTTATCAAATGATGAATGCAACCTATGAAGGTAGAATTCCAGCAAACACCTACCTGTAATGACGTCTTCACCAATCACGCTCAATAGGTAGAATAATGGACAATGGCTCTTGGACAACGGTGCTAATGCACATGTTACTCCAGATATACAAAACTTGGTGAATGTAAAAAAAATACATCGATAATGAGAATGCTGGTGGTGTAGGTAATGATATTGGTCTTTCAATCTCTTATTGTGGTTCGAATAAAATTCATATTAAATCTTCCTCATATGAATTAAACAATATCCTAAGATGTCCCATTGCTTCCACAAATATATATTACATCTGCCCATAGGTTTATCCTAGACAATAAATGTAACTTATTGATTTTTTCTCAAGGCTCGGAAGACGCTTTTTTGCGGGAGATGTGAGAATGGTTTGTACCCATTTTCAGGTGACGTTGGACAATTCAAATTACCCTATTTCAACGTGTGTAGGCATTCGAGTTTCAACCCAAAAGGGGTATTGTTGGAAGTTTTGAGACTCTTGTCCCACATTGGGGAAAACAAGATTCTCAATGGCCTTTATATAGATTGAATGCTTTAGTCTAGTAATTACAACATGAGCCATTTGGAAACGGATTGAAGGCTTGGGCCTTATTGTTGTGTGGTGGATTAGGCTTGTATAATATAGCCTAAATACAATTAATATTAATTAATCTGATTCATTAATTTTAATTTTTAGATTAAGTTTTTAATTAATTTATTAATTAAAAATGTTTTGATTAAAAGACACAGCTTTTAGAAAGAGTTGTGTACCTTCAAATACACTGAACATGTATTTGAAAGGGTGTGAAACAGCTTATATATCTGCAATCACAGTTTCCAAATGGATCATCTTTTCTTGATCTTTCCTTATGTACGAATTTTCTAGAGAGTAAACACATAAAAAGAAAATTCGCTAGAGTTCTAGAATCCAATGCGGATTGTAGAATTAGGTAGTTGAATCCTGATCGAACAGACGTTATGGAACCACAAGCACAAGAGTGGGACGAAAATACTGTTCGAAGGACATAACTTTTACGCTAGCCTCTACCTTCTATAATCAAGTTAGTAACATTAATTTCTGTATTTATTGTGTAATTTTCGTTTTGTATAGCAAGTATATTTTGGTTAATAAAATATTAGAATTTCTGTTATTTTTGTTTATTTCTGAATTGTTCTCCAACAGTACTCTCGGCCTAGTCATCCTGCGTCAACAATAATCAAGTTTTTAATTTCCAATGAACGAGTACCAATTCATGGTGTTTCAGATGTAACCTTTTGTCATTCATGTCCACTAGGAAAAAGTACTAAGTTATCGTTTAGTTCTTCAGAGTCTCTTTCTCAATTTTCATTGCAAATTTTACATTCGGATGTTTGGTGTTCTCCAGTTGTGTTAATTGAAGGTTTTTGTTAGTATTTGTTGTTTGTAGATGATTATTCTCGATATTATTGGATTTTTCCTAAGAAAAATAAATCTGAAGCTTTTGAAATATTTATTAAAGGATTTTTATCACAAATATTCTCTGAAATTGACCCACTCAATCAAGATAGTCTCTGAAATTGAAAATCGATCAATGTCGTCCTTGAAAATGAGTGATGCAAATCAATATCGTCATTCTGTTTGAATTTCGTTAAAAATCTGTTAGTATGCTAACGTGGCACGTTAGGACCCCACCCTTACCAAATATTTAAAAATTAAAATTTTTTTGGCTAAAAAAGATATTGTGAGCCCTACCCTTACCAACCCATCAGTCCTCACCCTTCTTTCCCACCCCGTCCGTCTCACCCTCTACCTTCCTGCTTCCCAATCTAAGAGTGGCGGAAGAGTACAAGGCTTGGAAAAATGCATCAACCCATTACAAAAATGATGATTTTTAAGATTGGGGATGCTGAAAAAGTTTGGGTCTTTAACAATTTGGCCATAGGCTCCGAGGGAAATGAAACAAACTGGTGAATCGGACAACCATGGATCTCATCATCGTCAATCAAATCCAAAGACACAAGACTTTGAATGATATCTGATTCCATTCTTCGATGGAAAGAAACCCCCCATAAAAATTTGGAAACCCAAAATTTAAAATCCAGAAAAAAAATAGATTTGGGTAACCTAGTGCAGCACTGCTCCTACGTCTCATTGGCCGCCAAAGTGGAGGAGACCCATGTGCTCCTTCTACTTGATTTGCAAGTATGTGTAAATTTCCAGTGACCCCAAACCCAAAAACCGTCGTTCTTTGAACCCTAAACCTAGAAACTGCTGTTGCCAAACTTCACATCTGGGTCCCCGGAGAAGACGGTGGGTGGAGCTGAATTTTTTTTTAAAATTGATTTTTAATATTTAACTATTTTTATTTCCCACATCATCAATATATTTAGGTCCCACAATGCCATGTTTCTGCACTGTCATCATCTAATGGCGTGCCATGTCAGCACATTAACAGATTTTTAACGGAATTCAAACAGAATGACAACTGATTAGTTTTCTATTTTATGGACCATTTTAATTGACTAGGTCAATTTGTGATAAAAACCCTTTATTAAATTTAAAGCCACAGACGTGGTTCAACCCATGTTGTCATTAATTTTAATTTTTGTTCAGAAAAAAAAAATCTCTTAATTTATTAATATTTAATTAACAAAAAAATTCACAACCAATGTTGCATCCCACATCGCCCAAGGAAGTGGATCGTGTAAGCCTTATATGTGTATTCTGATCTCTACCTAGTACAAGGCATTTTGGGAGCTCACTAGCTTTGGGGTCCATCGGAACTCCAAAGTTAAGCGAGTTCATGCGAGAGCAATCCCATGATGGGTGTGAGTTCCCAGAAACAAAACCGTGAAGGCATGGTCGGGGCCCAAAACAGACAATATCATGCTATGGCGAAGTCGAGCCCGGAATGTAATGGGGCCCGAGCCAGGATGTGACAGCCAAAGGGACGAAGGTCTAATTAATAGATCATAAACTGTTGTATACAATGTTCAAAAGACGATGTATGAGGTTGTTTTTTTTTTTTTTTTGAAAGAGAACCAAGGCCGAAGTCGAAAACAGCAAGAGAGCCAACGAATGGCGAACACCAAACAGGCACAAAGAGAGAGAAAATGATGGAAGGGGATACAAACAAGCAGACACTGCAACCAGGTGGAGTGTCACCCCAACCACCGCAACAACAACTCAAGGCGGACAAGGAAGACCATCCTTATTCAGAACATGCACCAACGAAGATGGGGGTCTGTTAACCCAAACCCGATCACACATCTCCGGACAGCCAACCGACGCAAGAAAGTCCGCCGAAGAATTGGCTGATCTTGGAACCCAAGACCAGCGACAGAACTGGAAAGCTTCACACAATTGCTTGACCCTTACCAAGATAGGAAAAGCCTCCCAACTGCCAGAATCCAAAGAGCCAGAAAGACAAGAAATGGATTCACGAGAATCCGATTCCAAAATGACCGAGCTACAACCTAAAGCGGAACCCAATTCACAGCCACGCAATAACGCACAAGCTTCAGCCGCAGCAACATTGGGGGATAAGATAACATACCTCGCAGCCACCACAAAACTCCCCCCATCCGCACGTAGGACCACCCCAACAAAACCCATTTTAGACTCCTTAGACCAGCTAGCATCAACGTTGATTTTAATGAAAGGAGATGTTGGAGGGATCCACCGAGGATCCAAAACCTGCCTAGCTGGATCTACCAATCTCCCAATCTTCGAAAAACCCCCAGCCTCCCAGTAAGACCCGACAGTAAATGCAACATCCCGCAAGACGAAAATAGGACCTGATTAAAAACAAAGTTGCAGCGAGCATTCCAAATACTCCAACAAGTGAAAGCAACATAAGATTGAACCCATTGCACATCAGCCGAAGCCCCCAGAGGAAGAGTGAACACAGCCTGCAACCAGCTCGCCCACGAAGGAATACCATCCCTAGCCACTCAATAATGAAGAGCACCACCAAACCAAATAGCTGCTACCCACGGACACAGGAGGAATAAATGCTCCACAAATTCATCCTGGTAGAGACAAATGGGACACACTGGGGAAGGGGATGATCGCCGACGGAAGAGCACCGCTCGAGTGGGAAGGGCATTATGTAAGGATAACCAAAAGAAATGACGGAGCTTATGAGGCCCTCTCAATTGCCAGACCATGCGCCACAACTGCCTCGGAACTAAGCGAGCACCAAGCTGGCGTTGATCCCGTAACCCAACAGACCTAGACAGCAGCTAATGATAGCCCGATCGAACTGAGTACTGCCCATTCTTACTCACATCCCAAACTAGATGATCTTTCCGACAAAGATCACCAAGAGGGGTAAGACAGATAACATTTTGCTCCACCTCTGAAATAAACTCCTGCAAAAAACTAATATCCCATGCATGTGACTCAGGCCGAATAAGAGACTAAACCCGCAAGCTGGGAGTAACCGCCACCTCCCCAAGCGGTGTCGAATGCCCCTCAGGTAAGGATGGGAGCCAGCGGTCCACCCAAACACGCACATCCGCACCACTCATGATTTGCCAATGAGAACCATTCCGTAAAACCTCTCTACCAACCAGAATACTACTCCAAGCCCAGGAAGCCCTCCCACCTTTTTTGGCATCCCAAAAGGAACAGTGCGGAAAATAACGAGCCTTAAGAACTCGAGCCCAGAGGGAATTCAGATCAGTGATCAACCGCCAACACTGCTTAGCCAACAAAGCGTCATTAAATTCACTGAAATTCTGAAAACCCAAACCTCCCATCAACTTCGGAAGACCAAGAACAGCCTTAGAAACCCAATGTGTCTTCCGCCTGTCCCCAAGACTACCCCACCAGAAGCCAGCAACCAAAGCATCCATCTCCTGACAGACTATTGCTGGAAATTTAAAAATGTGCATCGGGTAGGCAGGAATAGCTTGAACAACTGCCTTAATCAAGACTTTTTTCCCAGCTCGGGATAAAGTACACTGCTTCCAACCTTGCAACTTTCCCAAAAATTTTCCTTTAATATAAGCTAGACCTCGTTTTTTGGATCACCCCCAAATAGCTGGAACGCCTAAATAAGCGCCAGGATTAGCAACCGCAGGAATGCCAAGAACATTAACCAACTCATTGGAAACTTGCAGAGAAATATTCACCCTAAAGTAAACACTCAATTTTTGCAAATTAACTTGCTGACCAGAAGCCTCACAGTACCTCCCAAGAATGTCCACCAGGTTCCGATAATTTTTAGCATCAGCCTTTAGAAAAAGAAGAGTATCATCCGCGAAAAACATATGAGAAATGACGGGCCCTGATGCGCCAATCTTCACTCCGTCCAACATCTTCGAATCCACCGCCTCTTGTATTAGACAAGAAAGGACCTCCCCAACCAGCAGGAACAGATATGGGGAAAGAGGATCACCCTGCCTGAGACCCCGAGAAGGAGTAAACTGCTTGCCGGGTTGTCCATTAAGCAGGACAACAAACTGCACCGAAGACACACAACTCATAATTAGATGTCTCAAGTCGCTGCAAAATCCCTTCCTAGCCATAATAGCATCAAGGAAGTCCCATTCCACACGATCATAGGCTTTCTGCATATCCAGCTTAATACCTATCTCAAACTTATTTCTAGCCTTTCGCCCTTTTAAGAATTGAAAAAGCTCATGAGCTATGCCAACATTATCGTGAATCATCCGACCAGCCACAAAGACATTCTGGGAGGGAGATATAATATGCGACAGAACACCCTTTAACCGATTTGCAAGAACTTTAGACAGAACCTTATAAGAATAATTGCAAAGACTGATGGGTCGAAATTGCGAAATCGTTTCCGGATGAGATACCTTAGGAATTAGAACCACGTGGGTAGCATTGAGCGTACACGGGCTGGCCGTACCATGCATCAATGATTTGATCAAGCTGTTAACATCATCATGCAGCTGCTCCCAAAAGGATTGATAAAAAATCCCTTGGAAACCATCCGGCCCAGGAGCTTTGAGACTTCCCATATGTAACGATACCTTCTTAACTTCCTGCTCGGACACCGGCGTAATGAGCTCCTGATTCATTGCCGCAGAAACATCCTGATGTAGGCAATCCAAGAGAGAACCCTAATTCCTTGGACCCCCCGACTGAAATAAGGAAAGAAAATGATCATCAACTAACTCCCGAACCCTACGGGGATGCTCAACCCACTGCCCATCTCCATCCTTCAAAGTAAAGATCTTGTTCCGCCTGCGACGTTATAATGTTGATTGATGGAAGAATTTAGTATTTGCATCACCCTCACGTAACCACTGAACACGAGATCGTTGATGCCAATAACTTTCCTCCTGAGCGCGAAGGTCATCAATCAGTCTAGACTTCTCCTGAATTACAGTAAAATTCGGACCCCAATTCTCCTGAAGCACCCCGAGTTGCTGGGTGAGGTCCTCAATTAGCTGGCCGCGCTTTTTGAATTTATTGCGACTCCATCGAATAAGGCAAGACCTACAATCATTAATTTTAGACACCCATTGAACCGGAGCCCCTGCCTCCCCCCGCCGAGCCCAGCACTCACTAACCAACAATTTACATTCCTCATCCTTAGCCCAAAAAGCCTCAAAACGAAACAACTTCTGTCGTTTAGGCCCATCTAACTCAGACTGAATAAGCAGAGGACAGTGATCAGATCCCTAGACTGGCCCATGCAAGGCCATCGAATTGGGCCAAACCTCCTGCCACAACCCATTAATTAGACCCCTGTCCAAGCTTTCTTCCACCCACTCCCCACGCCTAAAACCCCTCCACGTAAAGGCAGGGCCCTTGAACTCCAGATCAAACAATTCAGTAGCATTCATAAAATCCGCCAAAAACTGAGGCCGATTGTAATTAACCGCCACTCCTCTGGACTTCTCATAATCCCAAATGAATTCATTGAAATCACCACCACAGAGCCAAGGAACATCCGATGGAGAGAAATGAGATTGCATCCAAGCCCAAAATTCAGCTTTTTCACCAGAGTAAGCTGTACCATATACACCAGTAACCCGCATCCACTGATGGAAACCTTCAAATCTTACAATAGAATCAATTACATACCTTGACGAAAAAACTATTTGCACCTCCAGAGAATCTTCCCACCACAAGCTCAAACCCCTAGCCTTTCCGATTGGGTTCACATTAAAACCATTCGAAAACCGCATACGTATCCGCAAGCCATCTAGCCTATGACTCTTCATTTTAGTCTCAGATAAGAAAATCATAGAGGGTCTGTTGTTTCGTATAAGCCCATGAAGAGCTCGAACTGCCGTGTCCGACCCCAGACCACGGCAGTTCCAAAATAGATAATTCATGGCAGCCTTGCGGCTGTTGAGGGCCAGCCGCCACCACCCCGAGCTACAATGCCCGCTTCCTGAGTCGCACTTGGATGCTGCTCGTCCACCAACTCAGCTTCAACATGGGCCAGCACACGAGTGCTCAGATTAGAACCCTCATGTGGCTCAACCTCAGCATAGACCGCACGCTGTATCATCAAGCAGCGTTCCTGGACATTCAGCCCTTGCCAAGTCTCCCCCATCATCCCAGAACTGCCACCTTGATCACGTATTCCCCTGACCTTCTTAAAAGGATTTTGTACCAATTCCCAGCTTTGACACCCACCTCCCCTTTTCATGCCACTAGCCTCCACGAGAACAGATCTTGGATTTAACCAATTGCCTTGAGCCTCACATGCAATAGTGGATATCAAGCCCAATGAACCTGGACTAGACACAGAGTGCTGATGTGTCCCCGCGCTGATAACCACCGACTCCCGCTCCCTATGAGGATAAAGGTCATGTACATCCTGTTGAAAAATATTTAGACCCAAAGTGTTCCAATTCTCGTGACTGCGATCGTCGGTCTCTTTCAATAAAGTCATACTATGAGCATCCTAAGTTTTCGACTTCCGTCTCCACTTCCTCGTTGCGCAGCATTGCGGTTGAGAGGCCTCCCCAGGCCCAGCCATCGTCGGAAGAACCTCGCGTCGTTGATTCAGCCTTGAAGCACTACCCAAGGGCTGTTCTATTGCAATAACGTCACCCCTAACGGCTCCAGCTATCCTTCGTGCTCCAACTCCCAAAACTGAAGGTCTCGAAATAAAAACTTCATCCCTAATTGGAGGTGCTTTGAGCCATTCTCCATATCCTGCCTCCCCTCCAGAATTAACGGCAAAAGGACAGTCAGTATTGATGTGGTCCACACGCCCACACCTATAACAGAAGTCTTGTAGTCTTTCGTAGCGAAACTCCACCCACATATCCCGTTTAGACTCACGTCTCAGCCAGCAACCGTTGATCAGAGGGGCAGCCGTATTAACGAGTACTCGGACCCGTAAAAAGCCTCGTGCCTTAGCCGGGTCCTCCAACTCCAGAACTTGTCCAGCAGTCTGAGTTAGACGCTTGACATTCGCCAGTGAGCTGAGCCCCAGTGGCACACCGCGAATCTGCACCAAAAAAGGAACCAATTTAAGCTGCACTTCTTCCACCGCTAGGTCCGGAAGCCATTTCTTTACCGAGAAATTTTTCTTCATAACAACCCAAGGTACCTGATCCATAATTCGCTTAGCCATCCTCTCATCCTGGACCGATATAATGAAGGTATTCTCTCGTACCCACTTAATATCGACCTCCCCAAATTCTCTCCAAACCGAGTGAAGGATGTTTCACACTCCCCATCTGTTTAAAGTCTTGGTTGCTAAGACCTTACCCACTAGTTTCACACCATGTTCCATGGCAGCTAAATCCAAGGAATCTTCAAGCTGAACAACAAGGTCCGCTACCCCTGGAGTAGCCATGAGTTTCCTCCGAGCTAGCAAAGGATACCAGTGAGATCCAATCGAAACTAATAGAGACACCGAAAATAGCCACAAGCACAAAGTACTTCCCCAAAATTTACCACTCAATCTCTGGTATAGCAGATGCAAAAGGGACTGAGAGACCCTGACCCAAACATCCGTAAGAGAAGAAATTTGTGCATTAAAACCCTCTAACCCACTGACACCAGAGTAATTAAAGTGTGTTCGGTAGACCGAACTACCAACAGTGGAAAACCCTAAATTCGCTCTGCTCAAAACAAACATTTCTGACTCCCAACCACCCAAATGGAGCCCAAAAGCACCGAGGATCGAATTAATGGCCAAAATCCCCAACTCAGCAATCAATATAGCTACCTCACCCATCGAGAAAAACAGAAGAGAAATAAAAGCTTACCCACTGCACAGCAACATCAATGCTGCAGTAGCAACATACAACCACCACCCTGACAACAAAATTAACACTCCCAGAGCTAAAAGCACCATCAACCTCCCAAAGCTACAAAGGGACCCAACGCTCAAAGATCCCTAAAAACCGAATAACCACAACACCGAATCGCACCGAGGCCAGGAAGACCCCAGCAACCAAACGGATCTGGAACAACAATCCCCAAGCCGCACCGAAATCAGGAAGACCACAGCAACCCACCGGACCAAAACAACAATAAATCGACAGCCCCAAGGGCGAAACGCACCACAGCGGAACTCACGAAGGAGGAAGAGCTCTCACGAAACCCGGAGAGAAAAAAACATTGATGTATGAGGTTGTTTGTGACCCTTGAAATTGATACAATTGAAAAGACATGGACTAAAGTGAAACTTAAAAGTAAATTAGCGGGACAAAAACTAAACTGAATTCCACCACTTCCCATTTTTAAACCCCACCCCCCAACCTTCCCCTTTTTCGTACTCAACAAGGTGAAGAACCCTCGATTCCGTCGACTCTGAATTCAGCCTTTCAAGTAGAACATCTTCTTCCACGTTAGTTTCTCTTACATATCCATCTCTCAGTTTTGTAATTCTTCGATTTTTTCTTTCTTT